TAAAATCCATATTTTGGTCCATTCTGGATGCTATTTCTGATGCAGCTGCAAAATAAAGGCTGAGAAAATTAAACTTGACGTTCACTTGTTCAACAAATATTAAGCATCTAGCGAATACAGGCTTGGAGCAGATGCTGCGGGAAGACCTCTGCGCTCAACCTTAGCAGGCTGGGCTCGGTGGACTTTACGCCCAACATCTGACTTAGTTACAAAATATAATCACACACAGCTCATGCAGTGTGGCTGATTGTGTGCGTGACAGCACCGGAACTCAGACCCAGCGGTTTTTCCTTGCCATGACTTGAACAAGCTATTTCGCTTCTCTGAGCCTCTACTGTGCATCTTGCAAACTGATTTATCTGTGCATTCACAAAAATCTGTACAAGCTCTCAGCACAGTGACTGCTGTACAGCAATCACTGGAAAAATTAGCCATTATTATTACTGACCGAAGTATTTCCTGCAGCCCTTTGAATTATTGCAAAAGACAGCATTAAGCCACTTTCCTGTCAGGCAAAGGTCCTTCCAGCAATATTTCACACTCTTAGGCACACTTAAAAATTGTATTGCACCTCTGCAATCTCCAATGTGCTATGCTACATACTGGACAGAAGTCAAGGATAGATGGAGAAATGCACATTTGTGGCCCCTAGAGAAACTTAAAATTTTGGACAGGAGGTAGAAAAGAGTTTTAGAATGTCATCGCTTGTAGAAGGGGGGAAAATGACTCTGACCTTCAGAAGACATTCATGTCTAAACCCCTGGAACCTGCAAATGTCCATTATCTCCTTCGGAAATTAAAACAAGATGTGACTACACCAGCATGAGACATGATTCGGACTGTAGGGGTGGTCCTAGATGTACCACACAGTCCCGTGTAAGGGGAGGGGTGGGAGACGTGCACACAGGTGCACAGTGAGCAGGTGAGGTGCAGTGAGTGGTAATGGTGGGGGGAGAATGGGAGGTGCAGCCCCGCTGGTGATATGAGGCCAAGGACGGCCCACAGCCACCAGAGGATGGAGCAGTGAGGTCCTCCCCAGAGCTCCCTGCCCTCGCCTTGGTTTCGGCACAGTGATTCTGATTTGTGACTTTTGGCTTCCAGAGTTTCTGACGTGTTAAGCCACCATATTTGTGACCATTTGCTATAGCAGCCATGGGAAATTTAAATGTCCTCTAACTAAAATTCAACGTCTATCTTATTTTTTTTTTCTTTTAAGTAATGACCTAATTCCTTGCATCACTTATGAAAGAGCGAACACAGAATGTACCACTCACCTAGATGACTTTTAGGGGGAAAGATTTCAAAGTTTGTGGCACTTTGAAATTTAGAGGAAAGACTACAGTAAATGTCCTCAATCTGAGAATACTTGAGGACTGAGCCTTGTCCTCTCAACACTTGAAAATGGGTCCTGCATGCATCTGTGATCATTGAAAGAATGCAGCCTTCAATAGTCACTGGTTGCATGACTGGATGGATGGATGGATGGATGGTGGATGGATGAGTGAGTGGATAAATGAATGGGTGAGTGGATGGATGGATAGATGAGTGGATGGATGGATGGATGGATGAGTGAGTGGACAGATGGATGGGTGGGTAGATGATGATGGACGGATGGATGGATGGGTGGATGGATAGATGAGTGGATGGATGGATGGGTGGGTGGGCGGATGGATGAATGGATGGATGAGTGAGTGGATAGATGGATGGGTGGGTGGATAGATAAGGAATGGATGGATTGATGATAGATGTATGGATGATGAATGGATGGATTAGAAATGTAAAGTGATATAAAATTCTACAATAAGGTATTCTGCAGTGTCCATTTTATTAGTTTTATCTTGACTTTTGCAAATGGAGCTAAATTAAACAGAACTGTAGGCTCAGAATTCCATCTTTCTATGCATGTAAGTATTCCAATAAAATCATATTTTTATTTAACTCATCAATTCAGAAAAAAGGAAAATTTCCTGGTCTCTCCACTCCCCACCCTTTTAAGTTTTATAGTGTTTGAATGTGAGTAGTAGAGCCAGTCTCATCTTCTCTCTTCATACATACATATATGCGAGCGCACGCACACACACACACACACACACACACACACTAACTTGCTCTGTCCTGGTATGTTTTCCTGCCATAAAATGTCCTGACCCCTGCAGGTATCACTCTGAGCTGAGCTCTGTCCCTTCCATCCAGGGCATTTGGAAAACAACACTTCCTGAGTCAGAGGTGGTGCCCTGCTGCCCAAGGCCTGGGCACTTGACTCAGGAGGGAGCTGTAGGCATGGTAGCACTCAGCACAGGATAAGACCTTCCTGCCCGGTGTCACCCAGCAGCAGGCAGAGCCCAAGGCAGCATCACTGCAGCAGCTGCTGTCCCCAATCCCAGGTCTCTGAGCATCTGTTTCTCACTGGTGTTTGCGAGACAGCATAGCTCGGGGGGAGGTATGCAGGCAAAGATGGTGACCAGTGGCCTACACATTGCAATCTTCCTGCTAGTGCATTTAAAACCTGCCTCACTCTCTGACTTTCACCAGTCTTCTTCACTTGATTTTTCTTTCTGGCTCACCCTCCTTATACCTGGTCCCCTCCAACAAGGCTCACAGCAATGAACTTATCTGCAGGCTGGCATGTCAAGTTTGCAACAAAGACTAGAATGTAAACATAAGACACGAGCTCCATGACAAATTAATAGAAGGCCACTCTCCAGAAAAGTCTGAAGCCATATGACAAGATTGCTGGCAAAACTCTGGACTCCTACAACCCAGGGGACAGAAGCACAAGCAATGACATTTATTTGTGTTTGTATTTTAAGAGCGCTATAGGGGAGTGGGTTTGCTCTATGACTGATCACCTTCTATTCACAAAATGTAAACATGTATTAAGTCCAAGGTTATCGGCCTGGTATTAAAATGTGCATTCTACTTTATTCATGGACTCTTTGGGGGAAGCACTGACACACAGGGTGAAACAACAGCACCACACAGCAGAAATATCTGAAAACAATTTTCATTCTGTCCCACTGTAGGCATTTTAGAGAGTGTGTTTACAGTCATTTTTCATGTGGCCTGGACTTGAGTTCGGGCTGGTTACAACTTTCAGGCAGCATCAGAATCTCAGACTAGAAGTAATCTGAATGCATTGGGAAAGTGGCTCAGTTGTCCCTGGTTGTTGTAAGTCATACTGGCACCATGACATTCCCTTTTACTCACATGACAGCGTTAATTTTTCCTTGTTCAGTGAAAATTTGTGGATAACCACTGAGTTATCTACCATTGCCTCAGCTCCATGCATAACCGATTTGCATTGGAGCAGTCTGGCTGCACTGAGTTCTCCAAACTCAGAACCTCACAGAGCAGGTCCTGTGCTGAGTTGATCGCTTCATTCACAAGCTGATTTTGGGCCACTTAGGAAATAGACTTCCACATCATTCAGTACCTCATTTAAGGGTACTGTCCATGTTTCCAGCTGGGAAGGTTTGAACATATCAGAGGAAGCCCAGCTCTCTTCAACCCTGCTCAGCCTAATGAAGAACTCAGTAAGGGAGTCAGTTGTGTGCACAACTCAGGAGACACCATTGTTACAGTACATTCATAAAGCTACAGGGTATCTTGCTTAAGAAATCCTTGTTACTGCAGCATTGAAAACAGAGAAGCTCACTCTGATTTAAAACCAGGTGCCAACCGGTAAAAGATCATGTCTCACAGCGACTCTCCAGCCAGCTGGGCCGCTGACACAGTGGATGTGGATTTTTTTAACCTCAAGTCTGCCTGGGTTGGAGTCACTGAATTCACCAACCTCATCTTTGCTTTCCTGCATGCACTGTACATCCCCAGTTCTGGTCCTCCGGACTGTTGTAACTCATCTCCAGCAGACGTGAGCCCTGATGTCAACAGCACTTGAAAAGACAGTGGAGAAAGCGGCCACAGATTCTCCTTTCTAAACGCTAGCAGCACAAAAGCCCAGCAAATGATCTGCCAGAAGCAAAGCAATGGAACCCCAGCAATGCTGTGAGAACTCTTGAGAAGAGAGAATTCACATAACTGAAAGACTCTGCATGACAAATGGCTTTGCAGATTCTGAAAGACATCTCATTTGAAGAGTATTCAGAGAAAAATATATTTACAGTGTTTTCACACTTGAGACGGGCAAAAATCTTCACTTTCTCTCGATACAGGAAAGGGGACGGGACAGGGGAGGCCACACACAAACACAGTCCTGGTCAGTAAGAGAAGAATAGCTGAGCCATGCTACCATCAAACAATTTTTCTCCAAGGAATTCCTACTGCCCCACCTTCCAAACAGGGAGCTTGACAGAGGGAGAGCAGGTGGAGGGAATCCTGCCATTACAGCTTCCAGTCAGTCCCGCTGTTAACAAGCCCAAGCCAGGTCACAAGTTACAGCTGAAACTCTGGTGCACCCTATAGGGATGCTGTGCCCAGTATGCGGCTACAGGATGGTGACAGCAGCGGCCCTGAGCCAGGACCTGGACCTGGGCTGGCCCAGAGAGGGTTGGGGCCACTTCAGCCCCACCTGCAGGTCACGTTCTTAGCAACCTGTGACGAATGCATGAGTGTTCCCACACAAGACCGGCCTGAAATTATTTCCAAACAAGTCAGAGGCAGCAGGGGAGTCAATTCCAGATTCCAGGGCGCTGCAGGGCATTTCAGCCCAGCTCCCTGGCCCCTGGCTCAGCCCTCCCGCGGCCGCCTTTCCTGTTAGGGTCGCACATCCGCTTCTGGTTACTGACAACGCGCCCTGGCAGCCAGAGTCCACAGACCTGTCTCCCGCGCTCCTTCACAGCCCCCCGACCAGGACATCCTCCCCAAGTCCTCCAGAGGAATCACCTGCGGCCAAGGGACCGCGGAGGACCTGGGCTCCGCACGCCGCCTGCACACACACCCACGCCCTCTCTCCCGCGCCCCCATCACGCACACACACTCCCACAAGCGCCGCACTCCCAGCAAAGTTAGTCCTGGGGCCGGGGTGGCGGCGGCGTCCTCACCTTTGGAGAAAAGGGCAGCTAGGCTGATGAGCACGGGAGACCACAGGTGCCACAGCGTCCCCATGTCAGACGGGCACATCCTGGAGACCCGGAGCGCAGGTCCTCTGCTCCTTGGCGCAGTCCAGGTGAAGGAGACGTGTCGCCCAGCCCGTGAGGCCCGGCGCGGGGCTGGATGGCGAAGGCGCGCCCGACTAGGGGTGCGGGCAGCCGGGGCGCCCAGCGCCCTCCTCCCGCCTGGCCATGGCCGGCCGAGGCGGCGGCGGCTGCGCGGGCCCGGGAGTTGCTGTCTCTCCCGAGTCAGGCGAATCCCACCTCGCCCCCCGCGGGATTTTCTTTCTTTCTTTCTTTCTTTTTTAAATTACGACGCACCAGGGCTTTCTCCTTCCCTGTTTACTAAGCGAAGAGTGGCCCCAGGTGGCCAGGGCAGGGCGCCTCGGGGCGGGCGCAGGGCTCGCGGCTGGCTATCGGACGCGGGTGGCGGCGGGGCTGCGGGGCTGCGGCGCCCGGGGCGCAGGCAGAGGCGGCGCGGAGGCCCCCGGGCGCGTGGCCCGGAGCGCAGGGCGGCCCGGGGTGCCCAGGCTCTCGGACCCCATCGCGCGCGCCCGCCGCACCCCGGGGCTCGCGCGCGCGCTCGCTGCGGCGCCCAAAGTTTGGTGGGTGGCGCGGTTCCCACCGGCCCCGGGTCCCCCGCCGCCGCCCGGCCCGGCTGGGGCTCGCGGGGCTCTACGCGCGCAGAGCGCACGGCCCGCCCGGCAGCCGCGCTGTCCCCGCCCGCGCCCGGGGGAGGCGCGCCAGCTGCGCGCGGAGGAGGAACCGCTGGCTCCGGCCGCCAGCACGCGCGGGGCCCCCGCTTCGCCAAGACTGCATCAGGAGCGCCGGCGATCGCGACTGTGCCCGGCGAGAGTGCTAGTGGTGGTGGTGGTGGGGGGGGGGGTGGCCTTCAAAATTTGTCTTTTTTTTTAAAAGCCCCACCCTTTCGGAGTGACAGCTGTGAGCCCCAATCCGCAAAGTAGATCCCACCTCCCTAGTCTGGCAGGCACACGGCCTCTTGGTCACCATCGCTGCCTGCGCATTTGGGGGCTGCTGGGAGGCAGGGTTAGGGGGACAGCAGGCCAACTCCCTGGAGCTGGAGTGGGAATCTTCCTGCTCTCACAACAGGTGTCAGGTGGCTATCTGCCCCTCTTTCGCTTCAGAGCCTGAGATGCAGAGACCTCCTCCTGCCTGGAGGGGCAGTCGGGACCTGCGCCAGCAGTGAGCACATAGATGGCTGCAGAGAAGTCCCTTGTCCCACCTGGTAACGTCCCAATCATCTCTTAATGAGGAAGCCTGTGACCTCGAGGTCATGCTAGCCCCCAGCTCCATCCCAGAATGACCACAAGTTCAAATTAGTGTCCCTAGACTCCCAGCTGGTCCATTGGGAACAGGACAATAAGTTGATGAAGGGAGGAGTCTCGAGAAGGAAACAGGCTTGGCTCTGCATTTGTGCCTTCTAGGGCCTCTAAGACCCCCTAAATCAAGATTCCTAAGGACCTCCTGTGGTTCTGAGCCCAGGGACCATTCAGCCCCATGGGATACCTGAGATCAGGACTCAGAGGGAAATCCACCAACCACAGCAAATCCAAGGAGGCAGACAGGCCTGGGCGGGTAAAAGTGGTGGTCAGCATGTGGCGAGGACCCCATCCACACCCCATTCTTCAAACCAATGCCAAAACTTTAAGAGGTTTTAGCTGTCGGGGCTGGCGGAGTGGCTCAAGTGGTCAAGCACCCGCCTAGCAAGTATAAGGCCCTGAGTTCAAAACCCCAGTACCGCCAAAAAAAAAAAAAAAAGACCCTAGAAGAGGATTTAGCTGTCAAAGTCTCAAGGAAGATTGGAGAAGCCAGGGCTAGACTGAAGAAGACAGTGTTTGTGGGCGTTCCTTTCTTTGAGATGTGGGCTTCTCGTTTATCCTGGATGTGTTTTTCCCCATGTCTGTCTGTCTGTCTGTTTTTCTTATTTAATTCTTAAGCTTTCTCTGCTTTTTAATTTGTATCTCCTACAAAACTTGTAAGAGTTGATTCTGCAAAGAACCTAGGGGATTGTGTATTTCACTGCTTCGGAAATTTGAACCACTGTCCACTTCCTCCGGGAAGTTGGAAGAAACTGCCTTAGCGCTGCACTGCACAGATGGGGCTGGAGACCACGCCCCTGACAAATCCCAACAGATGCTGAGGCTGCCTTGCTGGGGACAGAGACCAGTGTCTCTGCACCTCAGAGTGGGAGAGCTAAGGCTTCTCCTGGGTGCACTTACCCTGGGCTCTGAGAGTCAGAGTCACAGTGCTCCTCACACCTGACACAGGGTCCCCCTTCATCTTCACTGCCAGAGTCATAGCTGTTGTGCAACTGAGTCTATTTTTAGGACATTTCTCAGATTTATTGACCAGAACTCAATGGTCCTTGGTCTTTGTTTAAAATGATCATTTTGATTTTTTTTCTAAATCAAATTGAGTGCTTCATTTTTTTTTTCTGAATTGCAAGCATCAGCTAATTTTTCTGCCGTCCCCTAAGTCACTGCAGAAGATTTGTCTATGTCCTTCAGATAGAAGGTGACAGCCAGATTCTAGTGCCTGCCTAAAATGTCAGCCTGGTTAGCGAGACAAAGGTTTCTGCTCCTTTTTGGTAGGAAAGCTGTTTGGGGAAGCCCTCACTGAATCCCTGATCCCTGTCTAAAGCAAGAGGTAAGAGTGGCAAATCCAGCCCTCTGTGGGCAAGTAGCATGGCTAACTGTGATGGAAAGACAAGCCTGCCAGGTCCTCAGCCTCCAGGGCAGCTTCCCCCTGGAAGCCCCTGCCTATCTCTCCCAAATTAATTACAAGAAATTTGCTTTCCCCCAGAATATGTTTTCATCTTCAGGGCCAAAAACCAATTTGTAAGCCTCATTTTTTTTTGGTAATTAAATAGCACTAATTATTGGTGCCATGTGGAGAAGGCATGAACCCCAGGCAGATCCACTGCTTTTGTCCAAGAGGTCAAAAACGTTCTCCATAGCAGGTTCAAGAGAGACCAACTCTGTTGGGGAGCTAGGGAGGTCCTCTGTCCCCACTCCCCTGCAGGGATCTCAAGTGTTGAAGGGACTTAGAGCAGCGGGGCACAAAGGTGCTTGTAGCACTGCATAGAACCAAGTCCCCCCGCCCCCCATCCTTCTGATGACACCAAGATGGGTTCAGTCCCATCCACACTAGGACGTCCTTTGAACTATTGCAAAGGTCCTTGTTTTTGAAACAGAGGGAACATCTTTCTGTGCACAGTGGCAATATTTACCAGAGTTTGTTGACAGTTTTTGCTTTGTTAACTTTTGCTTTCACACTTTTCTTTACTCTTCAGTTGAGTTATACTCGGTTCTGGAGTGAGAAGAGGAAGTTTGAGAAACACTGGGACGAGGGAGATACCAGACCAGCCATGCTCTTTCTTTCTTTGGTGGTATCGGGTTTGAACTTGGGGTCTTGTGCTTGCTAGGCAGGTGCTCTACCACTTGAGCCCCCCCCCACCACCACCAACCCTATTTTGCTTAGTTATTGTTTTAGGTAGAGTCTCACATTTTTGCCCAGAGCCAGCCTCAGACTAAGATCCTCCTACCTATGCCTCCCACATAGCTGAGATTACACGTATATACCACCACACCTGGCTTATTTATTCTTATTTGTTCAGATGGCAGTCTTGGTAACTTTTTGCCAAGGCTAGCCTCTAGCAACAATCCTTTCCATCTCTGCCTCCCATGTAGGTGGGATTACAGATGTCTGGTTTCAATCATTTTTTCCAAGAAATGGGACAATATTCCAGTGTAGGGTGGGCTGTGTCTCTGATGAGCACCGCACGCCCCTTCTAGTAACACTAGGGGACAGAAATCATCACTCCAAAGACAGTCCTCCTGTAGAGTTCATGCAACAGCTCAGAGGAAGGCAGGAGGCAGAGCTGGGCATCCTTCATCTTTCTTTCTTTCCCAGCACAAGGATGGCTGTACTTTGCAGGTGACTAAATGTAAGTGAAGGTGATGAGGACTACTGCTGTGAACAGCCACCTGTGGCTTCTCACTCTACCTGCCCCAGCCATGGGAACCCAGCAGACCAACTGCTCAACACAGCACTGCAGCTGTGGTCAGTGACGCCCCCATCAGCCTGCCCCCAGCACATATGTGTATGGGGCGGGGGAAGGCAAAGCCCTCTGCTGGCCTACCTGGACATTCAACAGGAAAAACTAATTTTTGTGTTGAGTCCCTGAACTTCCCGTCCCAATGTGCTTATGTACAGCAGTCTCTTATTTTCCTTCTTCCCCCCACCTTACTTCCCCGTCCCCTCCAGAGTACTTGCAGCCTCCCAGGGACCTCCAGTTCCTGGTTTGTGGACCGATGCAAAAGCTTTGCAGGCCTGAAGCAGTCTTCTTTGGGGTTCTGTGCTGGACTCCTATGGGCCAGTTGTGCCTTTCTACCTCTGGCCTGATGGGTCCTGGAATGTCCCAGAAAGAGGGTGAGGATTCCACCCAAGGTCACAGAGACCCCTCAAGCCTGCCAGGGCAGCAAACTCACCGTGCAAAGGCCTCCTGGGCTGTCCATTTCTGCCCCGAGCCTCCGACAGAGGCTGAAACCTGCATTCTCTTCCTTCTGAAGATGGCTGCCCCAACTCAGCTGCCTTCCTAAAGTGACAAGTGGCCACTGGCTTAGCTGTGGTCAAAAAAACATGGCTGAGAGGATGTATGTGGCTCACAGAGCCCACGAAACCTCCGTGTGACTCTCCAAACTGTCTTTGCACTGCTTGCCCCTGGATGCTTCATCCAAGAGCCTCCAGCCTGTAGCAGCCTGCCGAGAAGGAGGGAGGCACCCTCAGTGTGGTGAACGCTTTTTTTATTGGTCCTTGGATGAGCAAGAAATAAGATGGTGTTGCGTTGAGTTGAGAAGGTCTGGGGTTTGCTTTGCTACGATGAATTATTCCCACCAGTACTGGGTCTATCCATCCCAGCACTGATCAACTAAAGTATAAAACAATCTCCCCCACCACCAGCTCTTCTCAGCCTGAAATGGCTCCTAGTCCAGTGCTGGGAGGGAGAGA